CTAAACGTATGCAGAATCTGGAATATTGGCATCTTAGTAGCTATAAAAAAATTGAAAGATATGCTTTCTCTTATAACTTTCTTGACTTGTAATATTTTTTTTGGCTATACCAATGCAAATGCTTAGCTCCAGTCTGTCTTTGCAGGCCATTATTTCAGGGAAAAAGGCCTTTGTAACTTAGACGTGCAATGGGTTGAAAGAAAGAGCTTGTTGCTTTACCTTCCTGTTTGCTCTTGGGAATAACTTTGAATATTAGATGAAAGTCTCAACTGCATCCAATTAGACATGCATACTACTTATCCCAGAATATCAACCCTGTCCTCGTTGTGAAAAGGAGCAGATTATTTTAAATAGAGCTTTGAATTAATTTTTTAACCAACATCTTGATGGTTTCAGAGTTGAGTTGAATTTGATGACATCGCAGTCATTTTGCTTATTCAATTTATTTGGTGTTGGGGAGGAAACTTCTTGGCTGCTTCTACTCGAGCAGTGTTTGTGTCTACCACATGTGGGCCAGAGCAGCGATCTCACAGTTCTGGGGTTCTCTTTGTTGGTTCAGTGGTTGAAACCATAGAGGAACATGTGGTTGCTGTTGCCCTTTGCCTCAAAAGACAAAAGCCAGACACCAGCAAAACAAGCCTGGCTAAAGCTGGTTGTCTGCGTGGCCACGGGAAGTGCCTGATTCACCCCCCTTCAGTAAATAGGAGGTAAGCCCACAAGTGCGAGAGCATGGTGGCATATCCTGTGGGCTGGATTAGACAGGAACCATAAGACAATGCATACTTCAGAGAGCGAAACGCCTGCTTGGAGCCAGACACAGGTGGGTTCCAACCCTGTCTCTACCACCTGTCAGCTCGTGAATATGGGTGCTTTGCTGCACTGAGCCTCAGTTTTCTCATCTGTAAAGTGAAGCTATCATGGAACCCGCTGCTGCAGTTGTTGCTGGGATTCAATGAGATGAGGCATGTAGGATGCTCAGCACAGGCTTTGGCTCACAATAAGCAATGATCACTGGAGTCATGGCTGTCACCGGAACCTGCAGAGCCCTTGGCGGAGGCCCACAGGCTCTTTGCTGCCCTCTGGTGGTGAGGCCCAGAACGGGCTGGTGTGAAGGAAGCTGGGAGATGTTAACCGGAAAGCAAGAAAATTGCTTTGGGTTTTATTGCTTTCCTGATGACCTCCAAGAATATCGTTCAACTTTTCAGAAACGAAAAACACCCCTGGGGCTCTAAAAGCAGGCTGATGTTTTCCTTGTGTGGGAGGGTGAGCAGGAAAGTGGTGGTGGGCTTCCCTGTCCGCATCACTGGCAGGATAGGCAGGAGGTGGTACCGAGAAGGGGAAGGGAGCTAGGTGACGTGGCAGTGTCCTGGCCTCCTCTGAACTCCCCCAGCTTTCTCCACTTTTCTGCCCTTGGCACTCTCTGCCTTTCCTGGCCTGCCTTACTGAACATGGACACAGAGGACCATGGCATGTCAGAGCCGGGATGGAACCAGCCCTTTTTTTCTTCCCTGATCACAACTTCTAATTTGCCATGAGCCCTCCCAGGACTGACAGAAGTCTTTTTACAGGTCTCTTTCTCTGACACTGGGTGAGATGCTCCTTTGGGGGTGCCCCGGAGCCTGCTGTGTGTGCCCAGTGCTTAGACCAACAGACAATGTCAGGCGGCGTCTTTGCCTTCCTTACAGACTGCGAGTTTCTGGGGGGCCATCCCCAGCATCCAGCATGGTGTGCAGCACAGGGGAAATGCTTAATGATGAAACAGCGGCTGGGTGGATGAGTGAGTGCTCTCTGCCCTTGAGGGTAAGGAACCGCACCTGACCAAGCCCCTATTCCCATGGTGCTCGGCACAGAGCTTTGCACATAGTATTTGAGTACCTCATAAGCGCTATCATAGGTTCTGGGAGGTTTTTACAAAGAAGCATAAGACACAGTCCTTGGCTTCTAAGAACACATCTTGTTAGATGTTCAGGTTAAAATGAAACTGTTAAGTTGTGGTGCAAGTCATGTAATAATTCAGAGCCAAAATAAATCCTCCAGGTGGGTGTCAAAGTTCATACCAGAGACAGGTGGCTTTGTGGGCTCGCCACATGTGCCTTGCACAGGCCTTGTCTGGAAGGGGCCCTGCATTGGTTTAAAGCTCTGCTGGTGTCATCTTGAAATTCTTAATATTTTCGAACAGGGGGCCCTGCAAATTATGTAGCCAGCCCTGACTAGAGGGCCAGGGTGACCAGGAGCAGCTCTGCGGTGGAGAGGGAACAGGAGGAGGGCTTGGCAAAGTGAGCTGCAGGGCTGGGCTGGAGTTCTCCAAGGACGTGGCTGTCCTGATGCCAAGCCCCAAGCAGCACTGTGTCCCTGCTCAGGACATGCAGTGGGAAGTTGGGGTGATGGCATATGGACCCAAATCATGCCTATCTGTGAGGAAGTGGTGGCTCCGAGACAGGGTCTGCACGTGGCCAGGTCTGCCCATGTGCAGAGGAGCAAGCTCAGCCCTGTCCAGGGAAGCCTGTGATGGCCATGACCACAGAGCCCCCTTGGAAAGGCTGCCTGTCCTTGCTTGGCTGCACTAGAATGACCTGCTTTCTGGAATGTGGCAGGTGGACATCTCATAATAGGGCTGCTGGGAAGCCCAGAGGAGAAAAACTATGGGAAACGGGTCAGAACCACAGAAAAGGGGATTCTTCCTTGGGCCTTGCATAGTTCCTGGCACCGATGGGTCCTCATCTGGTGTTTGGTGCAGTTTTGGATCTCAGAGCCCATTCTTAGTGGTCAGCTAATAGTTGTCTGCTGGAGGAAAGAGTCCAAGTTCTCCATGGGAGTGCAGCCCAGCTTTTGTTCGCCAGGGCCACACAATCTCCATACGGAAAGGAGCAGTCCTCTGCTCTTTGACAGACTGGGGCTTGAATTCCAGCTCTTCCTCTGCTTTCCTAAACAAATGGCTTACCTTGTCTGGGCTCCTACAACACAGCACTGCTGTGAGGATGGAGACAAGCACGCAGGGCGAGTGCCTGGTTAGTGGCTGCCCCCTGTAAGGCGACGTTGTTACTATTATCAAAAACCCAACCTGTGACTTGGGAGGTCAGAACAGGGAGGGACAAGCTGGCCGGCAGTGCAGAGGAGGGAGTGCTGGTGCAAGAGCAGGGGCAGGGGCTGCGGTGTGGTGGAGTGAGGGGGAGCTGGAGTACCCTGTGCCCGCAGGCGGAGTGGCCTTGAGCTGGGAGGCAGCAGGGGTCTTTCAGTGACTTCTTCACACTGGCCATCCCGTGTGAGGCCCCATGGGTGCTGCTCTGGGCTGAGCAGGGCTCGGGTTCCCAGGAAGAGGGCCCGGCCTGTGGCCTCCCCTGCCGTGGCACTTGTTGTCCTGCTGGGGCTTTCCTGCTCTGTCTGGTCTGTTGGTCTCTGGGTTTCCCTACACCGTCTACCTTCTTTCTCCATAATGAAGAGAAAGACGGGACCCACTCTGGGCATTCAGGGTCTCTGGCCTAGAGTGACCTCAGCCCACTCCTCCTGCACCCCTCAGCAGAAAGGCTGCCAGGCTCAGCTATTGGCAAGTGTGAAGAGCAACAGTCCACTGTGGCTGTGGGCAACTTTCTTAACCTCTCTGGTCCTCAGTTTCTTCAGGACTACAAGTGGTGTGACCTGGAGCTGCCAGGCGGAGAAGAGACCATGACAGGAAGGGTTTGCAGGAGCACCCTGCTGGGTACAGGCTGGGATAGGTACCTGCTATGTGTCCTTGTAAGTGCAGGCAGAGCCAGCACATCAGGAAACTGTCCAAGGAGGGGAAGGGGACATGGGTGACTGGCTCCTGGCTCCTAGTGTGGCAGATCAGTTCTGCCAGGCATGGGGGATCCAAGGCAGGACAGAGAGGCCTGTTCGTGGCCTGGCTGGCCTAGGGTACGTGAGACGCAGGGCTGTAGGTAGTCTGTGCAGAGTGGCCTGGTCTTGTGAATAGTCAACACTCCCATTTACCAACTGCTCACTGTGCCCCAGTGTCCTTCTCAGTGCTTTACCTGGATCACTGCGTTCAGTCCCCAGAAGCACTGTGAGGCACTATCATAGGTTCTGGGAGGTTTCTACAAAGACGCAAAAGACACAGTCCCTGGCTTCTAAGAAGACATCTTGTTACACTGGTATCGTGCTCATCTTGCAGAAGCAGAGACGGAGCCTCAGCTGCTCCCAGGTGTTGCTCCCACACAGCCTGGCTCTGCTCCAGTGTGCACGTCCCACCCCTCCCTGAGCCCCACTGGAATCCTGGGGCCCTGGTCCCCAGGTCATGTTGACTGGCCCCCATCTACTGTTGTCTCTGAATGGGGACTGCAACGTGACCCTCCAGTCCCGTGTGTGCCACCCCACCCTTTCTGATCAACATGCTACATGTGAGGGCGTCTGGCGGGGAAGGAGCCTTGGCCTTGAGGCCTAGCGTGCTATCTTCGGGACTGTAACGACAGCCCCACACGTTCCACAGAGGTGACCATGTTGACAGGGATTTGGGAAACACCAGTTTTCTTTCCTAATACATTTGTCCCTGTTTATTCAGGATGTGGCAAACATTTTATTTTCATCCTACCTTAATTAAACAGGAAAAAAGTAGTCTAGAATTTTGGTACATTTCAAATATATTTTATTACTTTTCTTTTTGTCTTAAAAAGAATATGAAGCCTGCATGCAACACTAATGGTTTCCGACATGTACGCAGCATGTAAGACAGCAGGCAGCGCGGGCATACTGAAGGGCAGTGGGCACAGGGCGTTCATAAGAGTCTATGTACAAAGGAAAGGGCGCGTTGCCGTCTTAGCTTTCAAAAGAGGACTGCTCTGTTTAACATAGAAGAATTACGCAGGGAATCACAAATATATTGCTCTAGTACTGCATGTTCCATTGTGGAGTCGGGAAGGAACATGCTTTGAAGGTTTTCCCATGTCGACAGAATGTGTGCCTGTAGCTGTGTATGTTTTTGTGTATTTCTAAGTTTTTCTCCTAAGGTTTTTGCTGACACTCGGGAAGGAACATGCTTTGAAGGTTTTCCCATGTCGACAGAATGTGCGCCTGTAGCTGTGTATGTTTTTGTGTATTTCTAAGTTTTTCTCCTAAGGTTTTTGCTGACACTGTTGGGAAACTCACACGCTTCCAAAGCATTAAATATCGAAGCAGGGAAGCTTTCAGAAACCCTCAACTTGGAGAAAAGACCCACCACCTTCTTTAAGGATCACTGGCCTCGCCATCACAGGATCTTGGAATTGGTTCCTAGCATATGTAAAAATTAACCAGAGGGGAATGAAGCACATTTCTCTGGCAACTGGACTTGAGTTGCTCAAAGAACAGATGCAGAGAGACCTGCTGCTGCTTGCCCGGCGACAGGGGCCACTGTGGAGTCACACTGAGGCTGTGACCTACCGTAAGCCCAGGAGAGCCTGTGGCAGCTGTGCCGAGGCCCAGGGACGGCTGAGCGGAAGCTTCCCGAGCTGGGAATGGAGCGGCACTGCACGGAAATGTCTCCACCAAGCTCACTGCTCGTCCTGAGCGCTTACAAAGCTCAGATGTGTAGTGACATATGGACAGATACAAAAAAGCATTTTCTGAAAAGGAAAGGCATGAGTTTCCCCCCTTTTGGTAAAAAAGCAGCCTGTGATGAAGTCTGGAGTGCAGAAGAGATGGGTCTCACATCTGGAAGCCTTTTGCACACAGCTATAAAATGTAAAAACTGACCCTTGGTAAAAAGTGCTTCATAACAATATATAATCTGTGTCTTATGCCTGTGAGAAAGAAAAGTTTTCTTTTGTTTTTTTGTTTAAATCTGCAAAGTCCTTTGCTCAAGTCTCCCAACCGGTCTGGAATTTTCTTATCAGAGGTTTTTCGCCCTATTCTTCGTAGACCCTGGGAAGAGAAAACACATGTGTAAGAGGCTCAGGACATGAGGCAGTGGCTTCATTTGGGTCTGCAGGGAGTGCCCCTTCCCAGGACTGCAGACGCCTGGGGGAGGTGGGAGGGACACTTCTGGGGATGTGATCACACAGACCACAAAACTCACAAAGTCTGGCTTTGCCCTTTCTAACCAGCTTCCGCCTCTGCAATCTCATTTTATCCTCAAGGCCCTATGGAAACTGAGGCACAAGAGACTTAAGATTCACCACTGTTGGCAGTGGGACCAAAGTCTTTCTCTGCAGGGTGGGCTGCTCCTGTACCTCCTTGCCCCATCCCTCATCTGTGCTCAGCCTCTCTTTTTAGAGAACATAGTGGGGGTGGGGTAAAGGGGTGGAGAGGCATCCCTTCCCTTGACTTAGGCTTGTATCTTCTTTGTATTTTGCCCAAAGAATTCATGTCCTCCAGAAAAACACCAGTTCCAGAAGCTTCCTGAAGACTGAAGAGGTGGTCAAGGGGCTGGGGCTGTGACGGGGCGGCCTGTGCCTGGGTTGCTTCTTCCTGGTGGCATTGCGTCACCTCTGCTAGTCATCAGGCCTGCAGCACTCACAAGCCCACCTCCCTTCACCTCCTAAACTGTCTCGTTAGTGCTTTAATTCCTTCTAGTTCTGCCCCATGGCTGCATGGGGGCCACACTTTACATTCAAACCACCCATCACTCCCTCTGCCTTGTTCCTGATTTCTGTAAGACCACCAGATTATGTGTTTAAATAAAATGCCCGATGCGGCTGCTTCCTGCAGCAGCTGGAAGCTCAGGTCTCCGAGGTGCTCCGAGCTCCCGGTCTGGCCCCTGTGGGCCTGGGCCTGCCACCTGCCCTGGGCTCTGCATTCTCTCTCTCTCTCTCTCTCTCTCTCTGCAAAGAGGACTTCAAACAGCTCCTTTATGTCCATTCTACATTCATTAAGACCATTTCAACTTTTTCCAGGGAGGCGGGGTGGGGAAGGCAAAGGCATGTCCCCTTCCTCTCCAAGGACACTTCCACACTCAAAGAAAGAGAAATGAACTAATTTTGTAATGAGGTGACGGATGGCCTGGTAACTGAGAGGATCTCATTGCTTTCATTATTGGAATTTGCAGAAATAGAAAAGAGCAGGGCCACGCTTGGACCCATGGGTGCCTTCTCCTTTTTCAAAGCTGCCGCCCAGGTGGAAGGGTGAGGAGGAAGGCAGGCAAAATGTTTGGTATCCCCCAGCAGTCAGATCAAGGTGTTCTCAACCTCCTCTGTGAGCTGGCCCTGGGGCTAGCCTCATTCCACTTCTGATGACACAGGGCCTGGAGAGTGACAGAGAGTGGATAGGGCGGGTCCTGCTTTTGCCATGTGAGCTGCCTCCCCTGACCAGAAAGAGGGCTTCATTCTCATCAGATTTACAGAAAATAATCTCTCGCTCTCATCACTTTCTATTTCTAGCAACTGCAGGAGAGGCAGTTTTGGAGGCAGCAAGAAAAGCTCAGGTACAGTGGCTGGGCCTGCGTGTCAGCTGTGGGAGAGTTGGTCATGGGGCTGCACGGGGGGTGGGGGGGAGAGAAAAGAGCTGGGCTGGGTGAGGGAAGGGCAGTGCAGGCACCCTCCGTGGCTGCACCTGCCACCTTGGGGAGGGTCTGGCCTCCTGCCCTGGCTTTGTCCTGTGCTCCCAGGCAAGTCACACACCACTTCCACTTAGCCTTGGTTTTTGCCTCTGCAGGATGAGGTGCTGGCACCCACTCCTGGGGAAGTCACCTGCATGTGTGTGTGCGTGCACATGCGTGCATGTTACCCTGGTCATCCTGTGCAAGTGAAGGTGAAAACAGGCCCTGAGTGTCTGAGCAATGAGCCAGCTCTAGGACAGGCTCACCTTCATGTGGCATGGGGAAGCCAGGAAGTGGCCTCCCCCTCCAAGGCCAGACAGGACCGCAGGGGATCAGAGCTGGGAAGCCACCTTCTGATTATGGGAAAACAGAGCCCAGTGAGCACAGGGGTCTGGTCCAGCATGCTGGCCATCTCGCCAGTGCTGCTCCCCTTGGTTAAGAGAGGCTCTGATTTTGGGGCCAGCCCGGTGGCGCACTGGATAGTGCGCCGCTTGGGAGGCGCGGCGGCGCTCCCGCCTGAGGGTTCGGATCCCACATACGGACCGGTTCCTGCTCACTGGCTGAGCGAGGCG